ACCTATTACATAGTATTATATTGCCCATATATATTATATATTTTTCACTGGGTTTTTTTTTTCACGGTAAAATTTTGAAAACCTTGTGGGGGATTGTTGGAATTTTAAAAGGTTTTAAAAATTTAACCGTTTTATTTATTTAATTATTTTGGCTATTTTATTTTATTTATTGTGGGGGTTATAAATATTTAATATTCAGGTTTTATTTTTGGTTGGTGAATGCCTTAATTTTTTGGTTGGTGAACTTTTATGGTTGGTGAAGGTTACATGTTTTTGGATGCCTATAAAAGGCTACTCCTCCTTCACATTTGAAATAACCACAATACACTATCAAAATATCACATACACATTCTAACACCACAAACTAATTCTTTCCTTTTCTACTTTTACATATATTCTTTACTTTATATTATTATTATTTTGGGCAATGGTTCTGTGACTTGGATACCTATATCTGTCTATGAACGTGCTCATAGCGGATCTTGAGTTTGTGTACAAGGGGTCGTATCTTGGAGTCTTGTAGACCGTCAGTACCTGCACGTAGGGAGGCTACAAAGGCTTTAGGACAGCGTCTTTGACGTGCTTCACCGTACCAAACTCACCTTCTTACCTATTATTTATTTTCCTTTTATTTCCCTATTATTTTGTTTTCTTCAATTTCATTATACCTTCAAAGCTTTTCAATTTGTTTATATGTTATTTATAATATAAATATTTTGTATTTGGCTTTACGGAAAGAGGGAAACTATTATTTTTCACAACACTTTTTACTCAATAGTTGTCGCCCGTGAGATTTGAACTCAAAGCATTCTCCTATGTTCTACTTAATTAGTCATGACTGATATATGGTAGATCAAATTACCCTTAATCTGCAGGATATATGTTAAGGATTTATTGGCACTGGGTGTGGAGAATGGAACTGCTCAACTTCATCCTCTTAAATATAGTGTTGTTCGTGCAGATCGTACTTATCGTGGGGAGATTCAAGTTGGTCTAACTTTCACTCCAAGGGTATTTTTTTTTTTTTTTGGGCTCTCATTCTGCTTTAAAATATGAAACTGATCACAAGCTTCTAGTTTATACAAATTTTTAACAATTCTTTTCTTCTTGGATTGATATGTGTGTGTGTGGTTGTTTGTTGCATTTTATAGGCAGAACAGCAACATGAGGGACAAGAGTTTGGAGGATGGAAGCACAGTGATGCATATCCATAGGGAAACAAATTCCACTGCCGCAGCTTGCAAAGTACAGACTAGTTAAAGCTCCTTGAAGAGGATTGGGCCAGTGTTGCTAGGTTTAGGCTTATTTGTAGTTAGTTTTCTGTGTGTTGGGCCTTGATCCTCCTTGTAATCTCTCCAGTTCTTAATTTGTAGCTTTGAACTTTTGAAATTCCATGGTAAAGAAAGAAAGAAAAAAAAAACGCAATTTAGTGATGAATTATGTAATCAGTGATTCAGTTGGTAGATAAATGAAATATGTTTGATATCAAATTTTCCATACATTTCAAATTTTCATAAGAGATCAGTTATTTTGCAGCCAAAAAAAAAAAAAGCTTCTATTCCTCTGCATAATTACCTAAATTAGGGAGTTTAATATCATCTGCCGTCTTAGCTCAGCTGGTAGAGCGCATGGCTTTTAACCATGTGGTCGTGGGTTCGATTCCCACAGACGGCGCTTCGCGATGTCTGTATTTATTTATTTATTTTTTTTTGGGTCTTCTTTTGGTTTTTTTTTTTTTTTTTTTTTCCCCTTGTCTTCATGGACTTCACGTCTCCACCACCACCACCAACAGTTTGCAATTAAATGGAAATACAACTTGTGCAAAAGAGAGATCATGGGATGGCCATGCAATACACTAATAACAATAATGATAATACCAACTGTACAATCACAGATACACAAAAGATTCTTCCACCGCCACCTTCTCTCATGCATTTCAATTTTCCAAAATTTTCATCTGCTCTCTGTTTCCCTCCCTCTCTATCTTCCGATATCTCAACCCTACCTACCCTTAATGGCACCCACGACAACACCTCACCCTCTCCTTGTTTTAGGCACTTCATGCCTCAATAACTTCCACCACTGCTGCTGCCCTCAGATTCTTGTTTCCAAACTGTTGGCTTGTGATCTTTCTTTGTGTAAATAATGAAATTCGAAGACTTTCTGATGCAAAAAAGCGAAGAGAAACAGAAAAGATTTGATCTTGAGGAAGAGGTGACAACAAAGTTTTTCCCTTTTTTTGTTTCCCAGCTTGGGGTTCTAAATGTTTACATATTAGAAAACTTGTCACAGAAAGTTGACACAAATCAAATGCTTACGCGTTCTGCAGGTTATGAAATTACAATCAGAGTTAGATGGACAACAAACACTAAATAGGTTTCTGCATTGTGCTCTTCATGGACCTCTGCTGTCACATCCATGCCTTTTATCATTGCTTCCACCTCAGGTATATAAGAGAGAGAGAGAGAGAGAGAGAGAGAGAGAGAGAGTGCGCGCGCGCATTTGTGTGTGTGTCAGAGAGCGCATTTGTGTTTGTGTGTGGTGTAATTAAGTGGAATTGAATTTTGAGAAGAGGCTCTACAATATGCAGGTTCAGGTGCTATTTTCAGAGCTGGCAATGGTGGAAGAAGAGATTGGTAGGCTGGAAAGAAAAGTTGAGGAGCTGAAATTGAGGTTGTACCAAGAGAGGCAAGGGCAACAGAATCACTCGCTGTGCAGAGTGGGAAATCAGTCAGTGCTCAATGAAGAGAGATGTAGTAGATCCCAGAACTATGAGGCATTGAGAAAAGAAAGAAGGATGAAGAATAGAAGAGCCTCTGTGGATTCTGCATCAGATTTCCAAAGGTGGAATTTCCCAAAGTCAGATGGTAAACCGCTTCTTTATCTCATATGAAGAAGAATGTGGATATTGAAACACTTTTTTTTTCCTTGTTTTGATTATTTGTTGTGTTTTTTGACAGGAGAAATTTCTGAAATGTCAAGGAAGCTGAGTGGGAGAAGCAGAAACCAGGGCAATGTGGATATTAATGAAACTGGCATTAGTCTGAAACCAAATGAACTCTCAGAAGAAGTGCTCAAGTGCCTTATAGGCATATTTCTTGACCTAAAACAGACATCATTGGACAAAGAGGGATCATCTGTGGCCCCAAAGCTAACTCTCTCCTGCATGAACTCGAAAGGGTTCATGGCAAAAACCTCATTCAACTGCAAATCATCCACAGTATTCTTCAACTACAACACATCCAATGTTGACCCTTACTGCATATTACCGGATATAGATGGCGCTGTCAGGGACGTTGGCCCATACAAGAACTTTATCCAAATCACAAGAAGCTCATTAGACGTCAGCCGCTTATCAGACTGTTTGACTGGAATTGGAAAATTGAGGTTGCTTACAGGTCTAGTTAGCAATGACGGCCGTTTACAAATTCATTCTCAAAAGCGTTGTTTTGTTAACTTCTTTATGTTGTCTTCAGGAAGTTGATGCATCAATTGAGTGATGTGGACTTGACTTTCTTGACCTACAAGCAAAAGCTAGCGTTCTGGATCAACATCTACAATGCCTGCATCATGCATGTACTGTAAGACATCTTAAGCAAGATTTAAGAAAAGACAGAAATCTGAAGAATGATATTGATTGGGAGCTTTCTATTCTTAATTATCAAATTTCAGGCCTTTCTGGAACATGGGCTGCCTTCCACGCAGGAGAAGCTACTGGCGCTTATGAACAAGGTACATCAATGTCTGTAAGAGCCATGACTTCCCAATTCTGATACTAATCAATAACCATTTTCAAATAGGCTGCATTGAACGTGGGAGGCATAGTGTTAAATGCTCTGGCGATCGAGCATTTCATACTCCGCCATCCATCTGAATCGAAACATGTACGTGAAATGAAAATCAAAAGTTGAGCTCCTCCTATTTTTGTTCTCTTTTATGTAATTTTTTTGCCTCAACATTTGCATCTCAATTTGTAGGGGCCTGCGTATGAGAAAGAAATGCTACTAAGACATGCCTACGGTCTCGGATACCCGGAACCTAATGTGACATTTGCTCTTTGTCGAGGCAGCTGGTCCTCACCAGCAGTAAGTGCATGCAGCTCTCCTAGTTTATTTCACAACATTTTTCTCCATCATATTTGTAAATTTTGATGAAGTTAAGACTTTGATATGCATGCAGTTAAGGGTCTATACCCCAGACGACATAGTTAACGAGTTGGAGAGAGCAAAAGTGGAGTACTTAGAAGCTTCAGTTGGAGTTACAAGCAAGAAGAAAATTCTGGTGCCAAAGCTTCTACAATGGCACATGCTTGATTTCGCTGACGGTATGGAATCATTGCTGGAATGGATTTACAGCCAATTGCCACGCTCTGCTTCACTGAAAAGATTGATAATGCAGTGCTTGAATGGGGAAACGAAGTCTCCGATAAACAAAATGGTAGAAGTCCAACCTCATGAATCAGAGTTCCGGTACTTGCTGCCATTGTGAGCCAAATGACAAGAATCACAGAAGGTTTTGATCTAGATGGATTTGAATTATACGTGCATTTAAATTACATGAACTTTTGTGTCCCATTGATTTAAATTACAGAGCTTTTGCCAACTGTACAAACAATGCATTAAACATCTGGAGAGTCAGAACAGTTGCAATACATAAACAAATGCAGTAATACATTTAGAATAACAAGCGGATTTCCTATCTTCTTCCAAAATTTAATTATTCGTTTCCAAGCATCTTAGAAACTACTCATGGGCATGAAAGGGCTCAACCAATACATTCACGATCCTGTTCAGCAGATTCAGCCCAAATACAGTTTCTTCGCAGTTTACTTTAACTGACATTTCCAACGGTTCAGAACATCTACCTTCAATGGTGATGGTGATCAAGCAGGGGGCAGAGGTGCTCAAAAGCTTGCTGCTGAATCGCAAGCACAAACCTGTTGCATCATCGAGGTTTGCTGCGACTGGCAAATCAACAGATACAAGATGAAGATTTGCGCTGCTAAGCATTTTCAATGCAAGATTTCGGCAGATTACAAGAAATTTGTCTTCTACCAATGAATTGTCACCCTTGTCCTTGTCCAACTCCTTTACATGATCAGTGAAGGTGCACCTGTTGTACAAAACACAAACATTCAATTCAGTGTACACAACAAAGACCAAAAGAGAAGGGGTGTTCTGGAAACCATGATCAATAGTTAGAATTTGTCTTATACGACCTCGGAAAAACGAGTCGCTTTACCTTCTTACACATTCAAACATTCCTCGCAGATGAGACTCCTTTTTTGTGAAGGCTTCAACATCCATAGGAAGAGCTTTTACAAAGTATCCAATGTCAGGCCGCAACTTAACAGGATGCCTCTTGCCATTACAATATAAGGTCAGTTTTAGAGGCAAGAGGTGGTGATGGAAGCGAACCTGGACGGTTCTTGTCATTGCCTGACCAGGTTCTAGAGAAGCGATCTCTTCTACGGAAACTAGATTTGGCTCATTATTTTCAGGTATTGTTGAGCTGCGATATCAAGATAATCGTAACAAAAGATTAGCCCTTACTACAGGAAAGATGTCACAGGGAGAAATAAACTTCTTAATACTTTATGGATGATCCAAGAACAAATCAAATGCAGTTTAATTAGATCAAAGGATCATGCTCGATCATGTGTAGTTGGAACCCCCACATCAACCTCAACCTTTGACGGGAAAAAAAAATTCAAGACTACTGCCTTGGACCCAATATCAACAATAACTTAAAATATGCAGACAGAAAACAACATTAAATTTAAAATGATGGTCGACCTTAGAACTACAGGAGACTCAATGGTCAAGTGACTTGATACTCCATCAAGTAGGCAACTCAGAGAAATATGTAAAAACTCCAGAAAACTGTTTTTGATCTCACATTTTAACAAATCCACCATAAAAACAACTTAATTTGGTCTACTAACCTCAACCTCAATGTATAACATGGAGGTTTCAACGAAGAAATAATTACTTTATTTTAAATTACCTTTCACGTGAACCCGAAGCTTGGTCTACAGAATCCATGCCTTTGCCGGATTCCTCATCAACCAAAGTTATATCAGACACGATTTCCTTTGAACAGTTCTTGAAGGAAACTTCTATACATAGAAACAGAGGAGAGATGCTTGAAATCTCAGATGAAAATGAATAGTCAACCTTTAAGCCGTTTCCATTCACAGGATCCAAGAGTGCATAGCTTTTAGGTTTAACTTGACCTCCAATATCACCAATTGAGATTCTTGCTGAAGATCTACGGACTTGACTTTGTTCTGAAGTATTTGTGCTTGAAAAACCAGGCTGCTCATCCAACCATGATTCTAAAGCTCTATTTGACAACAATTCCCCAAAATCAGAAGCAGACTGAGAAGCTATATTTTTCTTTTCATTAGC